GATGCTAAGAAATAGCTGGAAATACCCTGGCAAAGTAAGCCTTGAATTTTTGAAACTGCGATGGAGTAGAAGGATCTGTCCCTACCTTCTACAGCACATGTTTTTCGTTGAATGAAATTCCCAAGTGCCACAACTATCCAAAACAAAAGTAAACAGCAAAGTAACTTCAGGTATTTGTTTCAAACACTTTACTTCTCATACCTGCAAAAGTTTAATGCAAGTAGACAAAAGAAGCTGTGTTCAAGAGCTAGGAATATAACGGATTCTGCTTCTCAATTTTCAAACCAATGTCTCAAGTAGGCTGGATGGGGTAGGATCAGTAATCAGGCTTGCAAATCACAGCATTTTCACAGTACAAAGACTAATGTATGAAACAAAAATTCTCAGTCTGAAAATAAATGGTGTATACTTAGAAAACAGAATTTCTTTATTAGGGTGGCAGTAAAATTGAGGGAGTTGTCATCGGAGGAAAATACAGCCCTGCAATTTCAAGATTAGAATGTGAATTAGAGCATTCTCTAGATGCCAGACTATTAACTCCTAGGTCAAAGACAAAAATGTCCTCTCTGTTCAAGATTTCTGAGCTCTAAAAAGTCTTAGCATTATCTGCTTTCTGTTGTCCAGCAAGGCTGAATTCTGAACACTTGTGTGTACTTAAGCTGAAAAACAGCAGGATGTAATACTTTCCATCTTAATCATGAGGATTAGACACAGTAATGCCAGGCACAGCTAATAGATTTGGGAATGCATAAACATTTCAAGTTAGAGCTGCACTCAAAAATCACTAGATAATGGTTGAATCTGAGCAGGAGGCAGATCCTTTCTTTACGCTCACCACTAGTAGGTGTTAGTGGGTGTCATCTCGCTCTGAGAATGGAGTAGAGGATGAATAAAGAAAAATGAAGCAGAGATTGAAAAACTATGAGAAATCCGCCATATCATCATGACTTCCCCTTAACACACACAGCCACACATGCATGCAACCATTCATAATTGCTTTATCGATACTAGCTTTGCTGACCACTTAAAAATCCAACCTATGCCTTAAAACAGGTAGCATACGTGCCAAGAACACAAATATTCACTAGAGCAGGAAAACACAAGACCAATTCAACAGAGCACATCATACATTTTTAACCTCATAGCACGGCAGGAAAATGCTTTAAACCTGTAGCAAGTCAATGAGAAATCTTCCCCACTGGTAAGCACAATAGCAGCCATCCATTTCAATAGAAGTTTATCAGCAGTGAAACCTGACCGAGATAAATGACAAAGCTGTTGAGCCACAGCCTGCTTCTGCCTGCTGCAGGCTGCCAGATAAAATGGGAACAAAAGCCCCCTGCTGTACCCCCTACCAGTCTCCATTAACCCCTGCTGATGCTTTATTATCATCTGGGGGCTCCAGAACAGCATAGCATGAATCAGTGGGTAAAAAATAAATAATAAAAGCTCATATGTAGCACAAACAAACCAGAAACATGGCTTGTAAGAATGACATTCAGTTGGGCAGCACTGCAATTAAATAACAGTTCTGAGGAATCCCACATGCAAAGGCGAAAAGACTGATAAAAGCACAAAGTATGTAAAATCATGTACGAGAAACTTCTTAAAGGCAATAGAGGCAAGTACACAAATGTATTTCTCCTGCTTTTACCCTCCTTTTCAACTATATACAAATATAAGAAGCAAAGCAGGGACCAGGAATTTATTCTGATGCCTTCATGTCCAATTACAAGTTTCATCTTTGGATCCTTCACAAATGCCTTTCTTTGTTGCACTTATGCCAGTGTCCTTTCTTCAAATATAAGTTTAAAACATTTACTGAAGGCCAAAGCATCTTCTATTACACAGATATAAAAAATAGACGGTGAGGGCATGAGAAGTGCAGCAGATCTCCTCAAGATTCCTGATTGCCATTGGAGAGGAGGCAGTGTGAGCAAACTTGAAACACTAGTAATATTTTAGCTATCACAGATTAAGATAGGGATCTACATTTAGCAAAGGCTACCTGGTTAGTTAACACCAGAGGCTCTACCAGTTGAGCTGGCCCTGCCCAATCACAACATCCAACTGCTGCAGAAGGGATCAAGTCCTTGTGGTGCCTATGAGGAAAGTGTTCAGGGGAAGACAGTTTGGATCAGTTCTGCCTCAAGCAAAGGCAAACCCATCGGTGAGATTGTTTTTGCTCAAGGACTGGGGTGCACTTGGTGGGTGATGCAAAGGGATGGGGAAACACAATAGGTGCCTCAGGGGGATTTGTTTTTTGGGTGAAAACAGTGTGTGATGTTGAGCTGTAGAATACTTGTTCCGAATGACACTGCCACTGCATGCCATAATTCCCATGGACAATGAGAATGAACTGCTCCAGATACACCAGTCATGAGCTCCTGATGCAATTTGTAACCAGCCAACATCACACCAGTCCTCCTGCCCTGCCCTGGAAGACACTTGGGACAGATAGAACTCACATCCATGAACTAAATTAACTCAACAGACATCTTGAGCCATCAGTGGCCATTGACTACAGGAATGAGAGCTCTACTTGTATTTGTGTGTGTGTGTGTGTGTGTGTGTGTGTACTGTTGGAAGGAGTAGGACCTTGCATAATGTACATGGTTAAAATAAAGGGTAGGAAATGTCTTGGTTCTGGCCAGAACAGGATTAATTTTTGCAGTAGTCAGTTCTAATTGCAGAAGCCACACTAAACATGTGTGCTGATCACTACTAGGGTCACTGATTTTAAACCCTTGTTTGCCCCTCTGAAGTGCAGTTAGCAAGCAGCAACATGGCATCTAAGGAAGAACATGACAGAATGGCCTCAACACAGGAGAAAAGAGACTGTGGGTTCTATCCAAAGGTCTACTCATCCTAGTATCCTTTCTCAGAGAGTAATCAACACTTAAACTCGCAGAACTGCGTAACAAAGGAAATGCCTACAGAAACTTTTCAAGAAGACTCCTTCCTTCTGCAATTTACAGTTCAGGGACTTGTAATTCAGAGGCAATTCTATTTCCCATTAAATTGCAGTGGAATTCCCTTCCACAAACTTACTCAGTCTTCCTAGTAACACATGTAAGCTTTTAACATCTACAACCATTTCCATGACTCACCACCATCTGCTTTTATTTGTTCTGCACCCACCACCTCACATTAGTTACAAGGACCAACATCTTCTGTCAAAAAGTGTCTCTGTGGGAAGTGTCGGTCACCTTACACAAGATTTTATAGATCTATGTCACATATGCCTAAATGAATACCTTCAGGAATCAAAAAATACAAAGTCATATTCTCAAACAAAACTAAAATCCAAAAGCACCAAAGAAAAACTGTGGGAGAAATTCTCTGTTGCTTTAAAGGTTTTAGCCATACTGTTTCAAGATTTACTGCAAGTTGATAAGAGTTAACAAATGTTAACTTTTTATGAAATGTAGCAGCAGTAATATCATAACTCTAACACTTGGAGACTGATAAGAAAAAATAACTAGTAATTCTGAAATCTTAGTGATAAATCTTTTCTGATGCCCTGCATAGATGTTACATGACAACCTGGAACAAACTCATTTTGCTGGCTTATACTGATTTAAGAACAATGAAATGGAAACTGTCCCAAAAACCTTTGTGCCAAATCAGATATCTTCTGTCCTGCCACAGACACTGCAATGTTGGCATAAACATTCTGTGATGTGTTCTAGCCAGTTTGACAGAATTGCAGCAGTGAGCTCATGCCTGATCTAGATGAAAATTTCTGCCACAAACTGATCCAGCACTGAATAGAATCATTATTAATGAATAAGGAATCTCAGTGTTCTGGCAAACATGATGGTGAAGAATGCCTAACTTTCCTTTCGCAAAATACATTCAAGGCTGAGACAGTATCAGGGCTGAAGTGCTCAATCTGTTATAAATATACCTCTATGCATCACTATTTTCTCCTCTTTTCTAAGAGCTGGTGTAATAGTAGGTGAATTACAGACTATAAATCTTGTTTTCGGGACAAAGAAAACTCTGCTCCCTGAGGCTCTCTCAAGGAGTGCTTCAAAACAACTCACCTTGCAGGACTGGAGTTACTTTGGCTCTAAAGGAGAACAAACAATTATGCGACCTTCCAGCACATGACTATGACTCCACCTTGACTTATTTATAGTTTTAAATAAGTAAAAACAGCTTTGTAAGTCTAGAATAAGATTGTGCCTAATATAAGTGCTAAAAGTTATTTGCAATGGCTAGGAATCAACAAGGAAAGCTGAAATTCATTAAAGCCGACAAATCTACCAGGATATAGGAAAGGCAGACCTGTGCACCAGGTATCAGACAAGTCTTCTAATTCCAACAAAAGCTTTTGACAGCAAACTGATCAAATGCTAAACAATAATATTTTCTCAAAAACTGACAGATAATAAATGTCATATTTGTTTCATAACTGTTACACAACAAAAGAAATGCAAGACTTGCAATGTGGTAGAGAAGAAAAAGTGCCCTTTTCTAAAATTAGAAGTTTCAACTGGACATGTCAGAAAAAAAGGAAAATCTATACTCTTGCTAAAACTCTAATAAAAGAAGAGAGATGCGAAGTATTACAGATTTTTGGAAGTACAAACAATTTTATGTGAAGTAAGATTTATTTCTTTAAAATATGTTTTACTAGGCTCTAAACTGAGCAGTGCAAAGAATGAAAGATTTTTTTTTAAAGTGACATTCATTAATCCCAGTAAAAAGCTTTTTCCCCTGATGACCTAAGAATTGACTTATTTAACAAGTCCTTATCACAGATTGTTACAGACAGCTCCACTACATGGATATAATTTCTATTTTACACAAAAAATGAGGGAAGAATAGCAAGTAACTTGCCCAAGGGCTAAGAAGAACAGAGTTGTTTCTTAAAGCACAACTCAACCACCATCCCATCATCCTTTCTGTCTGTATCAGAATATGAACACTTAGAAAAGCAAAACTACATTCTATAACTTCATAGAATAAAACATGCAGGTACAATTACAAACCTCTATTTTGTCTGTTTTTGCATCTCCCCAGTATATTTTGCTTTCTGCATAATCCAGTGCCAACCCATTTGGCCAGCCAAGAGAGGTGTTCACCAGCACAATTCTGTCTGAGCCATCCAATGCTGCCCTCTCAATCTTTGGGATTTCTCCCCAGTCAGTCCAGTACATATACCTGCAAAGGAAACAAAACCTTATTAATCCAGACCTCCAATATTCTTATAGCTTCTTTTGGACTACTCTTCCCAAAACCACACAGCATGCAGAAAGTTACATTTCAAAACCAAAAGTATTTCCTTACGTAGGTAAGGATGCCCAAACCATTCAGAAAGAATTGGCATGTAAACACACAAAATTACTGTTTCAGTCTGCTCAGCAAGACAATATAACCAGTGCTATTAGCTAGAATAAACAAGCTGATTCACGCAGTCCACAAAAATATTTTAAAAAATAATAAAGCATAGACCCATAAGGTGACTACCCAGGTGGTAAAAACAGCAGTGGTGCTTGTGCCTTGGAGCCTTAACTATCAGAGAATCCCAGTACTTTCATTTAGAAAGCTCAGAAGTTTATCACTGCATCCCATTATCTACACAGAAGCAGGCAGAGGTATCTTCTCTGCATGACTAGTATTTTTAAAAATGCCAACAGCTCCTCACCCAACCATGGGATCCAGCACAATAGCTCTGGGTTCTTCCAGGTCTTCTGATATCAAGATTTTCCTCATGGTCCCATTAAGCCTCGTGACTTCAATGCGGTCTGTGCCGGTGTCCGTCCAGTACAGGTTCCGGGCCACCCAGTCCACAGCAATGCCATCGGGATGTGCAATCTGGGCGGTGACCACAAATTGGCTGCCTGAGCCATCGAGGAAGGAGCGGCGGATGGCCCTCACTTCGTCATCCGTCCAGTAGATGTATCCTTCCAGTGGATCAAAGTCAATGGCGATGGCGTGGCGGATATCCTCCAGTGGCAGCACAATGTCTGTGAAGTCAGGGGTGTCCAAGGAAATGCGCCTCAGGTCCGTCCGGCGGGCCAGAAGCAGCAGGGCAGTGGCACCTGCAGGAACAGGACAAACACAAATGCCTTGCAAACACTGTGCAAGAAGCCTGGAAATAGAGAATCTGAGTCTGTCCTTTTTCAACAACATGGCCTAGCTACCTTGATTTCACAGGACCTAACAAAACTTCTGTGTACCAGCAGAGAATTCCACCCCAAGGCTTCAGATGTGAAACTGGTCGCAATGTCTCTGCTTACTCTTTTGCAGAACTAGTCAGATGTACTTACAGAGAAAATTCAGTGGTCATTTCCTTTCCCAGAATGTATCATGTTGCACATATTCTCTATCCATATCATTCCCTCCAAATTATTGAAACAGATATGCAGCAACTATGCTGCAAATCAACAAGATGCAACCTCTTAGATGAGAAACCAATTATTTAGATAATTTACTGACTGTTGTTGCCGTTGGTGAGAGGACAACCATGACAGACAAGCTGTATGTTTCAATAACGCCTGATACATGGAAAAATGTAACATAGAACCCTAGGAGTAAACCTCTTTTGAGAAACTCTTATTGGAGGAGTCAGATTTGGGAACAGACCACTGTGCAATGACCATACAGAGCAGGAGGGCTGTCACCTTCTCCCATATTTGTTAATAAACTTATTGAACACATGAAGATAAATAACAGTGTCTTATAAAGTAACTTTGAGCCAAAGTACACAAAAGTCTTGCTGGCTTTTGGGTCAAAAGTCAGAACCACAATAAATAACTAAGATCAGCTTGCACCGTAGAAGTTGTTTTCACACGGACAACACAGCATGATTAATGGTAGTATCAATGACAGTTGCACTTATTGTCTAATCTAATTCATTTTCATTTAATTTTCTATTCTATGTCACCAGTTTTCAAGGTAATGAAGGATAAACAACCACCACACCCCATTCTAATTAAACTGGCTTATCAGTTTGGAGTCTTAGGGAGATAAGAGCAGCTCAGGCCTGAGGGAAGCCTGAGCTAAGGTGAAAAATGCATGCATAATTGCCGGGAAAGTGTGGTGCAATGGCTCTCCTCAAAGAGTGAGAGGACAGGGCTTTGGCAGGGGCTGATGGGGGATGAGGGGGAGAGTGGGGAAGGCTTAAGTAAACAAATGCATGAACATGCAGTGAAAATGAGCAATCACCAAGCCGCATTGTGTCAATGTCTCGATTTTGATGTGTAACAACTATAAACAAGAGCTAGAAGACTGAAAGAGTTACAACTGAAGTTGGTGAGGAAAGAAGAATTTTGGTGTCTGATGCCAAATTTGTTTTTTGAAAAAGGTCAGTAATTGATGTCGGTGCTAGCTGAAACCTCACTGCATGCCAAAGCTTGGAAAGATGCCAAAGCAGCCATTGCTTCATTTACAGCAAGTTTAATGTGTTAAAATCCTCTAAGACACTTTCACAGTGCTGCAAGAAACAGCACCTTTCAGCAACTGAAGCTGAGGATATTATTAGAAGTGTTTCTGATTGGTAGTTCAGAAAGGACTAAGATCAGCTTTGGGATCCTCTGCCCTAAACCACCTTGTACCCAGAAATACATGCACACACTACTCAACTGATCTTCTGAGTAACTCTTACACGTTAATTAATCAGGAGGAGGGAACCTGGAATTACATGCCCATGTATCCTTCAAAATACTGTAAAGCTGTGATATAGCCAATGGAAAAAAAGCCTGTTAGAAATGTTTTTTTAAAAAATTACAGAAGCAATTAATATTAACACAGCAGTCTCTATGTACATCTTTATTTGTTGCTACTAAGTAAAACAAAAAATTCAGCATCAAGATTCAACCAGACAGATGCATTATGTTCATAGAAAGTCTTAGTACATAACTAGTCCCTACAATTTAGGTTCGAGGAAGAAACCCCTTCCACATTTTCTTAGCAACTTCACAGTCATTTATCCAACCTGTCTTTTAAACATATTAAAAACCCCAAACTGATACCTTTTTTTGCATTAACAAGTAAGCCAAAGGTTGAGCAAATGCCCTAACCTCTGAGTTCAAAACATATATATTGTCTATCATATAAAGAAAAAGTGTAAGGCATTATTTAAAAATAATTTGTGTGTTCTGGCTGAAGTTGACAGTCATTTCAAAGAACCAGTGCCAGATCTACAGAAAGACTCAGTTCAGTATAACCATGCCTTTGCTGGAACTCACCCTTAAAATTGACCAATTGACCTTCCCATTCTTCCCAAAGAGGACCCATTTCAACAGCTTCAGTATCCTGCTTTCAGCCTGAAACACTGTTGTTTAGTCAAACAAACCACTGTGTTTAAGCTTTAATTCAGTATTGGGAAATGACTGGCTTTCAGCTAACTCGTGTTATACTCTGGAACCCCGAGCTAAGAATTTCATGGTCTTTATCTGGGGGCTTGGCCAGCATTCCAATCCCTCCATCAAACACCAGCCCTCAGCCCTCCAAACAGGCAATAAAAAGTTTAAAGCTTACTTCAGAGCTATTACCCAAACATTTGCAAACCAACACCTCAGCTACATAGTTAGATCAGCAGCCATTCCTCTTGGGGAAAAAGAAACCGAGCAGCAGAAAAGCACCACACCTCCAGGCAGGCTGAGGGAAAGATCACTCTAAATACCTTCAAGCTTGTCCTGACAATAGCAGAAATAACAAATGCAAGAGCTGGGCGTATTTTATAGGCTGATCCCATTACCACCTTGAGAACAGTCAGGGAAAAGAACCCCAGGTGGTCTCAAAAGTGTATCAAACACCAGCTGTGTGAAGTTTACCTGGCTAGACACTGATCACCACTCAGAAGATGCTTAAGGTACTCAAGGGTGCCAGGACATGACAAAATCAATTTTGTTCACTTCTGCTCCAAAGACCAGTTATGAAGCCAAAGCTAAGATGACAACAGGCTCTCCAAACCTCTTGCCTTGCCTATCTAAGAAAAATCAAGCCTCTAATGATGAGCATGAGGGAGAGAATATCACAAGTACAGAATCATATTTCAAAAAAAGAAAAAGACAATGCAGGCTGCATACAAACATAACTTTATTTTTGGCTTTTTAAAAACTTCTATCAGCACTTATTAGGAGAACTGGAATAAGTCACAAACATATAAAACACCTCAAACCTCAGTTGGCTTAGATGCTTTCAAAAGGCACACGGAGGCTGCAGCTGGAACTCTGACCTTGCACGCATATGCGGACCTGAGGCGGTTTTCCTTCTGCTTCCAAACCATTCAATTTGTGGACTAAGCTCAAGATTCTTTTTAGAAGTGCCTCAAGTCACAGGCTATTCAAGACAGTTAACAATTATTTGAAAGCCAAGTCCCTCACTTGTCTAAATATGGACATATAAGCCTTACTCCAGACTCTTAGTTTTGAGAGATTTAGCCTACTTTTATTAAGCACTTTGAAAGCTGGGATTACAAGCTCACAGACAGTGCATTACATTAGTACTGGAACTAATACTTGCCTCAAAAATTCACTATTAAAATTCTAAATAATTTAAATCTGTGTGCTAGCTGAAGTCAAGGGAAGGAGGAGAAAAGGGGAAGCAGAGCAAGCATGAAGATACGTGCAACAGCACAGCTTTAAGTCCAATGCCCTTCTAACCTTTACAATTAATTACATCTTCTCAATGATATACAGGCCTCAGTCATTTGTAAGTTATAGAACTTTAAAACCATCAGTGGTTGCTGAGCTACACAGACACATGGCTCAGGAATGCATGCAAAAGAAATACTAGACCTAAGACATGTATAATGCATTTCCTGTATCTGAGAAATCACAATTATTAATACATCCCAAATAGAATTACTTCACATTTGACCAAAACATTTAATTCCTAAACATTTTTTCCCCCAGTTTTAAAGTCACTATTGTGAAAGAGTCCCTGATACGACAATACAAACAAGAGTTTTTCATGTAAGCTCAACCTTAAAACTACAAGGGCAAAAGAACATGCATCTGAAATTAATCATATATTTCTTCTTTCCTTTAAAAGAAATTAAAGAATGAAGGTGTGAAACTAACATCCTGATCTGTGCTGTCAAATTGGGATCCTGACTATTCCTGACAAAGGAAATTAGGCAGTGGACAGCCCTAAATTGCAAAAGGAAGTGCAAAATTCTCGTTCCTGCTTCCCCTATCAGGGAAATAGGATGTGAGTATCCATAGGCAAAATAAAGACTTTTTTCCTGGAAAAGAACAGGCTGGCCAAAGCAAGGCTAAAATCAAAGTGTAAAGCACTGCTTTTTCTTTATGAGGCAACTTGCACCTCCTTGCTCAGCTGAAGTCACCACTGGTTTTCTCAGTTTAAACCACGTTTCACTATTGGTGGGAGCAACTGCAGGACACAAGTAAATCTCCTTACAGGCAAAAACAGAAGCTGAGCACATGGACAGAGGACTTCAAGGACTAATAAGAATGTAACTCCAATGATAAACTCACTTATATAAGAAAATTCAGGTTTGTCTTACAACTATTGAAAGGTCATTTAAATGTAGCACTGCCAAACTCATAACAGCAGCACACACAATACTGAAAAAGAGAAGTTCCAGTATGTGGTGCAAAAGAACAATACATTACCAAGAATATGACACAAGGTGGTAAAAGCTCTCTGGCAGAAGACCTGGGTCCTGCCTGGGTACTGAGAAAGGACTTTCTGCTTCACATGTTACTGACAGAGGAATATCTGGCCATTAAATAATTTACTTTGCCTCTCTTTTGCTTGAGGGTCAGGGATTTATGAACTTTCACCTAAGCAATGTAGGAGCTAAAACCTTGCTACAAGACCACATCTCAGTATACTTCACTGTTTAGATTTGTATTATCAGGTATTAGAAAAATAGATAGTTTTATTCTAAGGTATTACCCCTTCCTGAAACACTGTGGAGAAATCTTTCCAAACTGGAATGTGTATGTGTTGTTGTATTCACGGATCTTACAAGAAATAGTAAAACTCCTCTAAGGTATGATTAAAAAACCCTACAAAAATGGAGAAACTAGCACTGGGAGAAAAGAGGAGGAAAAGATTTCCTATAAACCAAGATTATTCAAAAATGCTTGGTTGTCATGGAAACTGCTCAGGGAGGGTCAGCCAGCCTCACCTTTGGCTGCCAGGATCATCTGTCAATGCCAAAGCACTGCAAACACCACAAACACAACAATCAAAATTCACCCATCAAAATCTTTCCAGCACAGGCCAGTATTCTCCACAGCACAGCATGAAATGAAGCTCTCTTCTCAAAGAGATTCATTTCACCATTAAACAATTTGATTAAGGAACCAGTCTGATTTTAATCCACTGCTAGAAGACAAAACCATCTTAAAGAAGAGAAACTCGGCCTAATTTTTCAATTTTCTTCACTTCTCAGTAACCATCTCCCACAGTCATGTACACATTCTAACTGCAAATGGAGATTTAATCAGCACTGCAGCATTACAGCTGTTTACTGAAACTATCCAAGGTAAAAATGTTCAGTTCTCAGGGTTCAGCTCTACTTTCACAGCAGATACAGAGAACAGGCAAGTAAAAGGGGAAAAAAACAGCCCAAGAAACCTGAATCAATCCCTGCACAACTGAAAATGAGAAAACAAATTTACTTGCCAGGTGTCCTTGAGGAGCCTAAGAAAGGAAGTCCCCACACAGACAAATCCAGAGTTACATCTTGAACTCTGGTCTAAGGCTACTCTGGCTCTATTCAAGTACCATGCTTTCTTCCCTCCACCACGTCAACAATTGCAGCCTTTGCTACTATAGAAGTGAATACACACTATCCACAGTGTACACAGTGAATCTGTGCCTTGAAGAGCTCTGGAAAGTTGTAGGTCACTTGCAAAAGCCCTAAGCCTACTTAGAGATCTGCACGTCCTTTCCGTCCTTTCAGGGAGAGAGGAGTGGGGGGAAAAAAATCAAAAATAAAAAAAATCACTATTCTGGGGCATGCTCAGCTCTAAATGCTGAACTTCCTGCATGAGTATGTCAGAAATCAGCCTTGAACAGGATCAAAGCTGCATAAAACCAATGGACCTGATGAGTAACTGGAGTAGGTTGTTTCATCTGGGTTATGTGCTGTCTCCTCTCTAAAACCAAGCTAAATAAACAGTCTCAGTATTCTCCCCTCTTCCCACTCTTTTGTTCCTGAAAAGGCAGAGGCAGAATGTTCCCAAAACATACAGAAGCAGAATGGTGGTTTAAAATGCAACATGATATTGACAAGCAGAAGAGAAATGTTACTGTATAAAATTTTTTGCATACAACTGGACAACATACTGTAGCAACTTGGTTAACAATATTTCTAACACAATGGGGGCTTATATTCTATAAATCAAGTTATGTTATGGCTGACTGTGTTATTAGCTTCTTGTGTTCAGAGAGTGGGAGAAAGAGCAACAGTTAAAAGTTCTGAGACATAAGAAATAGCTAAAAAAAGTGAACTGATGATTCTGAACATCTCTCCATGAGAAGTGTTGGGGTGGACTTTTAATACCATTCCTCTACTTACCCATAGTAATTTACTTTGATACACTGGAGTTTATTTATCTGTGCATATCAAGTATTTTTGAAAAAGCACATGGATTTGTGTCACTTTCTGACTACATAAAACCAACACAGAGCAATATTATTAAAGCTTTTCCTTACACCAAGAGGAATGGAAGAAAAACATCTTGTTTGTATATTGGGAAATTCTTATAAACAATCCTGCCAGGCTAAATTGGGAGCTGTTTTTCAAATAAAAGCAGCAATTTATTTTAACAAGGTTCACAGAGACATGCAAAAATAATCAGCAGAGAGCATGAAATAGCATGAAATTAAAGAAAACTCTGAACATAGCTGACAAGCCTGGAATAATTTTTAAAATATAAAACTCCAATAAAAAAAATATTTCCATATACATTTTATTTAGCTTATTTAAACTAAGCTCTGCTGTATCATTTCTTCCTCTATTTACTTCTGTCCTAGACAGATGATCTGCATAAAAGATGATTATTTATGATCCAGCTAATTATCACACAGTGTTAATTTTGAGCCTGTTAGTGTACTACAGCAACCACAGCACATCGCAAGATCTACATTTACAAAATATAACAATTTAAAACCCACAATAAGAAACTAAAAGTAGTTTTGGGTCAGTGCTTGCAGCTCTAAGTCTTGATCATGTCTTGAGTTTTAGGGCTTTCAGCACCTCTAAAAACATGGCATTATTTTCAAAGAGAGATGTCAGGTGTATGTGTATAATAAATGGACATCAGACTTTTAAAAAAAAAATTTAAAAAGGGGTTGTTGTACAATCTTATTAGCCAAATACTTCATGATCAATAATCAAGAAACATTTTAGAGACAACGGAGGAGGTAGGTATCTTTTCCTCTAAGAAAAGGGAACAACAGAACCCCCCAAAACTTGCAGGGAGTTAGTGACAGAGACAGAACTGCAACCTAAATTTTGTAACTAGAGGGAAACTGCCCCTTGGTCACGAGACTGTGTCCTTTTTAAAATGTAGAGGACATTTTCCAATCACTTTTATGTGTACTGCAAAAGCATAAACAGTTTCAGAATTTGCCACTATTAACGTGAATCATTCATATAGTGCATCTGGAAGAATCCCTTTCCCTCCAAAAGCTAGTTCTTGCTTAATCTAAAGGATTTTTTAAAAACAAAGCCTACCATCTTTGCAGGTCTTTCCATTCTCAAGAAGTTTCACACCAGTGGGACATGCACACTGATAAGAGGGCTTGGTAGGAGACATCAAACACAAGTGGGAGCAGCCACCATTATTAATTCCACATGGGTTTGTAGCTGTTAAACATAAATCACACAGATTAATGCTTCTGATAACAAATGACCTCATATCATGTGTTAAGACACATACGGCATTTGAGTGCTAGAATCAGTGGCAGCAACACAGATTAAAGGAGGAAATGATAAACATAGAACAAGTAAAAATTACTTCCAAGTGTTGAGTAGTGGGGTATTTATGGTACCAAAATGCACGGATGTTGGAGGTTTCCCTTCTTGGGAAAGTAACACTTAGCTCTAAACAAGAACTTTGTTTCAGCTCTGCTCTTCTCATTTTTACAAACTCTACAGCATACTGGTGCTGAATGTATATATAAAAACAAAATGCAAACACAGTAAGTTAACACAATGGTTAAGACAGTGGTTACTACACGGAGCTAGTCCTGCTTAATATCATCTGCCAAATTAATACTACTTTCCATTCAAGAACTACCACTTTGAAAAGTAAACATACTGTGTTGCCTGAAGTTATGGTGCAGGAAACAGAAAAATATGACAACTGTATAAACGTGTCAGGCAGAAAAAAAGTAAGAGATGGGGGATTTCTTGCACTTAAAAATCCCTGCAAAAAAATATGGAGAATATCTGGTTTCCCTCTGGGTTTTTTGCTATTCTTTGCACTGGAAAAATTGTATCATGACGTAGGTGAAGCCACCCAGCACCACAGAGAAACACTAATTAGGATTTTTGCAAATCAGTTCCAGCTTGCAATTAAAAAAAGACAGCAAGACAGCTTACCATTTGGCTGCCTCTTCTGGCTGAAAGCATGGATATCCATGGGAGAGAAGATGTTGGAATGTATTTCACGCAGGTCCTCCCCGGAGTACTTGCTGCAGGCCAAGATCGAATGTGTGTTCCAGTCAGTCCAGTACAACGTGTCCCCAAACAGTGTCAAAGCAAAGGGATGTGGAAGGGAGCCTTTAACCACTGCTTGCCTAATAGAGCACAGGGAGAAAATGAATGCTCTAACAGAATTCATGAGACACTTTTGCCTGAACACAGCTTCTGTGAAAAGACATTTGGGTACTATTGTATTCATTTATTTTTGGGAAACAAATATACTGTCCCCACTTTGGGGAATGATATGAGGGAACAACACAGCCTATTTTCAGGCTGCCTACTGATGCTGAGATACCCAAGAGATGCTAACTGAAATCCTTACTTAGATCTGTTGGTACTTATCTCTTGAGCAGTGTATACCTGTAAGGCTCTCTGCCACCACATGAAGCGGGGAAACACAGTTGATTTTATACAAGTCTGACTGCTACCTGCTGATACACCATGTCCACCAAGTCCAGCCTCAACAGATTTCAGACTGAGACAAACTGGTCAATTGGCTGTCCATCCATGTCTTCCAGGTTTGCTTTTTTGAACCATCAAAATAAAGTAGTTTTTCATTATGAAGAAATCCTTAAAGTTACTTTCATTATTATGATAATTATTAAGCTATTGCTTTTATTATAAGCAATGCTATTAAACAGAGTTCTAGTGATTTTCTTCCATAGTAATGGTGTCATTTCTGAGCAAACTGGGTCACTGCTTCTCTCCAGGTTCACAAACAATATTAGAGTATACCCAGATATTTTATGTATATATACAAAGACATGCTCATTAGCCATCACAAAAATGCGGCACAAACATTACTGAAGACAGTTTTTCCAGGCTCTTGTGATGTAGAAACTAATTATCTGTACCTAAGATCCTCAGAACTGTAATTAAGTAGCTCAATTCTTATTTTTATTTTATTCAGAATCACAGAAAGATTTAAGCTGGGAGGACTACAGAGGCCATCTGGACCAACAACCTGCTCAAAGCAAAGCAGGACCACAAACTACCATTTGCATGAGTACTTCTTTCCACCTCTGTTCTTCTTAATGGCCTAAATGAAGTGTGTTCCCACCTAGGCATGATCCTTCTGAATACTGGGGATCACCATCCCTTTCCTGAACTGGAAGCATAAGGGATTGACACCCAGCCCTCCTACTCCTTCAGAGTAAGGCCCACTATGTACACCAGCCTCCCAGTTTTCTTCTTGCGGGGAAGACAGTAATTATCCATACAATTACTGAGAAAATACCCCCACAGTACAGGCATCACTTTCAGAAATAAATCTAACTGAAGTGGTTTAACAGACTACAAAAATACTCTTATCTTCCATTTTCCAAATATTTACTGTTAAAATATAACAGGAGAGTATATTAAAGCAAGAAGCTTGAAGGTGCCTTCTGCCAATGACTCTGAGTACAAAGAGACTATAGTCATTACCATTCTTTCACCTTGGCTTCTGGAAAAAGATGCATTCTCTTTAAAGCTTCTAATTTTTTTCTACTTATGAGAAAAAGATATAGATTCCCTTGCTTGTCACTCTAGTGTTCCAATTCTACACCAAATGAAATCTTCTATTTCTTGGTATTTTGCACTCAAAAGTAGGACATACTATCTTTTCTTTCTCATCTCTGTCTGAAGTCAGGTATATATTTGCTTCTAATTAAATGCATCAACTAAGCATCTTACAAAAGACCATTGTAATGTAATATAACTTAAAGCTGAAGCCTGCCAGCCAAACAGTGAAGCCAGAATGACACAACACATTCTGGTATCATACCAAGTATAAAGGCATTCTAAATCTGCAAACATTTTAGCCAACCTTACCCTCAAATCCTAAATATCTTCAGATTTTGAATTTTACTTTAGAGCAGGCTTGGAGACTAAGTCTTCATGTGTGACATTTGACAAATGACACATATAACATTTTGTAGTATGAAACAGAAGCAATGGAAGTCCAAAATTCTCAGTATAATCAAACCTGCACCCAAGACAGCATTCCCATAACAAAAGAAGCCACATTTATATGAAGCATCCTGACTATCTTACTTTGAAACAAAACCAACTAACCAAAACAAAAAAACACAGAGAGGAATTTGACATATGATTTGTATCCACCAGTAGTGGGAATAAATCTCTGAGTACAATAGCTTCTGTTAGACATACCTAACTTTCAGACAACCTTCTATTCATATGACAATGCATCAGGTGAACTGTGACCCTTATTTAAACCAGCCCTTATCTGGAGAGATTCAGGAGCCCTTCATTTGACTGTGCTGTCAGTCACAGCCTTTAAGCAATTACTCCTCAACTCGTGTTATTTTTCTCAGCAGATATTAGGTTGCAATGCATGAAGATGGCTTTGGGCCCAAACACAAATGTGTATTTCTTGCATCTCATTAAGATCAGTATTACCAGTAACATGTACTCTATAATCTTTGTTTCCAGCAAGCCATTACAAGGTGATACTTCCAACCAGCAAAACCAGCAGGGCTTTTTCCCCCTTGGAACATCCTCCACAGGCCACACTTGCAGCCCTGCTGAACAACAGCCACATAATGTGTGCCAGCATGGAAGCTTCAGTTGAGCTCAGTGAGTCTCCACACCCTAATGAGGAGCAGGAGGAAGGGTCTGGAGAGTCCAGCTATTAAAAAACAGGAAAACGAAGACGGAAAGAGAGCAAAAAAAGACCTTCTGATGGCTGCTTTGAGCAGCTATGCTTCAGCACAACCTGCACTAGGAACTGCAGAGCTCTGCTTTTGGCAATCGAGACAAGGGGTCCTGACTTCTGCATTGACTGATTATTTATTAAATACACCCAGGTGGATGAAGGGGACCAGTGTGTCACCTGTAGTATTCAGCTGCTGCACAAAGCTGGTGGGAGCAGGTGCCTTCCACCTCCAGCGTGGTTCACAAGCACATACACAGGGTCAGGGAGCAGAGAGGTCTCCACATTCCTGGTCCCAAGCTGGATTACAGGTACAGCGCTGCAGGTGCAGTTGGGCTGATGGGAGGTGACAGCCCCTTGGTAGCAGCTACATGATCAGGCCAGGCTTGACTGGAACAAGTGATATGACAGCAAAAGGCACTCCACCCTATCATCCTTCACCAAGCTCCTTTGGTTCCTTCAGACTGCTGCACTTTTATCATTAGTCTCGTTTAGAAAGAGACTCCAGAGACAATGGGAAAGTGAGAGCTGGGAATAAGGAGCAATGTTATTCATTCAGGAGACATCCCCAGGGCTTCAGCAAGACGTAAATTGGCTCTATATTAGATGGTACTAAGCACACTCTAACTTTAATAATCTTCCCTGCACCAGGCATATAATCACAAAAATTTGCCTTAAAATCTGGATGGTGATTGACATTTAAAAGGCCAACATCTCTGTTGAGTTGGCTGGGAAGGAAATGCATAAAGGGACAGAGCAGAGAAGGAAGGTCAGAAGAGAAACAGAGAAAAACAAGCAGTTTCCACAGAAATTAAATTCAGTCTGTCTTGAATATTATGATTTCCCAAACACAACTATCATCATGGTAATCAGATATGCCATTACAATAAATACTTGATATGGTAGAGTTTTCTACTATCTGGAGAAAATATAGATCCCACTGAAATATATTCACCTATGTTCTATTCTTATTCTGTTAAAGAGTCTTGTGAAACACTTTGTGAAGATAAAGGAAACAAACAATAAACAAGTTAAAGCTGGAATTACAAAAGGGACTACTGAACTCTGAAACAGAATAGATACATGAAACTTCATAGACAGTCTACCCAGTTTTATATTAACAATGACAAAAAAGCTCTTGCTTCAGGATAATATGCATTTCAGACAAATACTAAACTCATTTGAAATAAAAATTAACAGCAAAATGACCAGAAAGCATTAAATTCATATCCTTTATTATAACCATGATTTCCTCAGTCTGCCTTTATTTCTTTTTCAACTAATACTAGCATACAAAGCTACATTATAGCTATGAAATTTAATAGTTTAGATCACCAAAAGAAAGCCACCAATGATCAAGATATTTTAAATTTAAATTATCATAAGAACTACTATTCCTAAATTAATTCCTAATTTCCTCCTAGAATATTAACAGATGTTTTATATCCAAGCATAACAGCATTTCTCCATAACAGTAAACAAGTAAACACTTTCCATGAACCAAAAGACTTTTATTCTTGCTGCATTACAGTTTTCTAGTCTCAAGACCTGATCAGAACACCTGCAGAAAACCTGAGCTACTTTAGATGTTCTGTCCTGTATGTCTCTAAACCATTTACATTCCAGCCTCACAGTAGCAAAACTCCTTTCAGGTGACCCCTGAGGCTGCCTGTGTTCAGTCGCTAGGGCAGGGTGTAAGCCTTTTTGACATTTATGTTTCACTCCATTTCTCCAGTGTCCCTGTGAGGGATCCCATTCCTATTACTATCTCCCAGGCTATCAGAAAGGGGAAAAAAAAAATCTGCTTTTAGTGTTCATCTTATATGCTTTCTTTAATATGAAGTTTGCATGAAGAAAATTAAAATATTTTAAACAAAAACTTTTTTGCTATCAACAGAATGCTTGATGCTTTACGTATTAAGAAAATTGCAGGAATTACACGTCTTCAGCTTGTGACAACTGTAAATGCTAGCAAGTGGCCAAAGCACTCAGAGCATGAATCAGATGGAGCAGGACCAAAGACTAAGACACACCCATAAAATACCACACGAAGGATGCCACAAGAAGGGCAGGGAGCTCTGGTTCCCTCAGCTCACAGGATTTCCTCCCCTGCCAACCTAACAAAAACAATTGCAAAGCAAACTCAGAAAACTAAGCTGCACTTTTTACCATGAATGCTTGTCCAAATATTCCTATCAGAAAACAAGCCTGCTTTTAATTACCTGAGAAAGTAAGCAAGGAAGATGATTTGTGGGATATAATGCTCTGTTTTCAGGCCAAAGTGTTTTTCTCTTTTGCCACTTCTTTACGCCACAATTGCCACATGTTTCCAGAAAGAATATATAACAAACAGGTCTAGCCATGATATTTCAAATCCTACTTGCAATGGAAGTCTGAAAAAGTCAATCAGAAATCAAATCATGGTTAAGAAATGAAGGTCAT